CGGCCCGCCGGTCAGCACGGCGCGCTCATAGTCCAGGCCGCTCATCAGCACCTTGGCGCCGTTGTTCAAGCCGCCCAGCACGTTCTCGGCCGGCACCTCGACGTTCTCGAACACCAGCTCGCCCGTGTGGCTGCCACGCATGCCCAGCTTGTCCAGCTTCTGGCAATGGAAAAGCCCTTCATGCCCTTCTCGATCAGGAAGGCAGTCACGCCGCGGGCGTTCAGCTCGGGCTCGGTCTTGGCGTAGACCACCAGGGTATCGGCATCGGGACCGTTGGTGATCCACATCTGGTGCCGTTGAGCAGGTAGTAGCCGCCCTTGTCCTCGGCCCTGAGCTTCATGCTGATCACGTCCGAGCCGGCGCCGGGCTCGCTCATGGCCAGCGCGCCCACATGCTCGCCGCTGATCAGCTTGGGCAGGTACTTGGCCTTTTGCGCTTCATTGCCGTTGCGGTTGATCTGGTTCACGCAGAGATTGCTGTGCGCGCCGTAGGACAGGCCCACCGATGCGCTGGCACGCGAGATTTCCTCCATCGCCACCATGTGGGCCAGGTAGCCCATGTCGGCACCGCCGTACTGCTCGGACACGGTGATGCCCAGCACGCCCAGGTCGCCGAACTTGCGCCACAGGTCCATGGGGAACTGGTCGTCGCGGTCGATCTCGCCGGCGCGCGGTGCAATCTCGGCCTGTGCGAACTCGCGCACGGCATCGCGCAGCGCGTCGATGTCCTCGCCCAGTTGGAAGTTCAGGCCCGGCAGGTTGGAAAGGCTCATCTCATGTCTCCTGTGGAAATTGGGGGAAAGAACGCCGCCCGGCTCAATCGGCCAGATCGCGGCCCTGCACGCACATCAGCGTGCAGCCCATGGTGGCAATCAGTTTTCTCGCGGCCTTCGTCGATGGCGTAGGCGCGCCCTTCGGTCACGGTGATGGTGCGGCCCGGCTTGAGCACACGGCCTTCCATGCGAAAGCGGCTGGCCCTTGGCAGGGGCCAGCAAGTTGATCTTGAATTCAATGGTGAGCACGGCAGCATCTGCCGGCATCAGGGTCAGCCCTGCGTAGCCGCAGGCGGAATCCAGCGCCGCGGAAACCATGCCGGCATGCAAAAAACCATGCTGCTGCGTCAGCCGGGCGCCCAGTCCAGGCAGACATCGACGGCACCGGGCTCCAGCCAAGGACAGCTCGGCGCCCCAGGGTGTGCATCGCGCCCTGGCGTGCAAAAACTGTCTCGCACACGGCGGGCAAAGTCGCTGTTGGCAGGTTCCAGGCGGAGCACGGTCAAGGCAAGCCTCACAAATTACGTTTACGTAAACGTCAATTATGAAGCATTTTTCCCATCCAGGTGTTTCAACAAAGTGCGGGCCTCGGATTCCTGCTCTCGCACCTCGGCCAGGTTGGCCTGCAGATCGGCCAGGCGGTCTTCGAGCTGGCGCGCGGTGCACAGCCAGCACCTCCAGGAATTTGCGCAGTTGCACGCCCGTGTCACGGGGGCTGTCGTAGAGATCGATGATCTCCTTGGCTTCGTTTCAGAGACAGTCCCAGCCGCTTGGCCCGCAAGGTCAGGCGAAGACGTGTGCGATCACGCGCGCTGTAGACGCGATTGCGTCCGCCAGGCCCGGCACGCTCGGGCTCAAGCAGGCCCATGTCCTCATAGAAGCGGATGGCCCGGGTCGTGAGATCGAACTCCTTGGCAAGATCGCTGATGGTGTAGGTGGTCGACATGGGCTGGAGAGTCCGCCGGCATCCACAGCCGCGGCCATGGGAATGCGACGTTGACGTTAACTGTCGCATCCCGGACGATTGCATAGACTCTAAACGCTATCCACTCTTCATGGCCCGAGCCGTTCTAAAGGAGTTGATAGAGTCCTTGCAATCCACCCAGGGAGTGAAAGCCATGTTTGATAGCCCTGCACAAGAACGCCCGCACCACGCCCGCCGTGCGTGCCGAGATCGCAGCCAGCGATGAACCAGCCCAGCATCCTGGCCCAGCGCTTTGGGATCACTGAGCAGACGGTCTACAAGTGGAAGAAGCGCGATGTCTTTGCAGACCGCTCGCACACGGCCCATCGCCTGCAGACGGTGCTCACGCCTGCGCAAGAGACCGTGGTGGTTCACTTGCGCCGTACCTTGCTGCTACCTTTGGATGACCTGCTGGCCGTGACACGGGGAGTTCATCTGTCCCATGTCTCGCGCTCCGGCTGGACAGGTGCTTGCGCCGCCATGGAGCGGGCAACCTCAACGCCCTCAAGCCCCAGGAGCCTGCGGTAGCCCACAAGGCCTTCAAGAGCTACGAGCCAGGCTACGTGCACATGGACGTGAAGTACCTGCCCCAGATGCAGGATG